GGAAAGAGGATTTGGCTTCCAGTATTCGGAAGGAGACAGACAGGGACCTGAACCCCAGCAGTCGGGGAGGGGAGTTGATCCGGAGGTTCCCGTGGAGGGCTGCAGGTGATGCAGGGCTGACCTCGGGGAGCCGGTGGGATGCGTCGGGAGCAGGACAGGGAATAACCTCCCGCACTCACTTGTTGCGGTCAGCCCCAAAGCAGAAGATGGAAGGAAAGGGCAGAGGCCTCGAATACTACCTCTCCCAGTTCCTTTGCCTCGCCAGCTTTGTGCTACTGATGATTTTTCTGGGCATCCTCGCGGTGAAGATGATTGGGTCAGGCTGGCTTGACAGGAGAGAGGAGAACTGTACGTGGTTTAATCCTGGTTTTAAACTTTCTTCTTCACCTTTCTTTTCTGCTTTCCCTTTATTACTTCCATCGCCACCACATTTATCATTCTCATTGCCGTAACTTGACATCTCTGCTTCTGTCCCCATTTCCATCTCCCCTTGCCCATGGGAAACCTTGTTAGTCAGGGAAAGTAAGTCAAGTGTGTGCTTTTTTTTTTTTTCAAATGAGTTTGGCCTTCGGTTCTTCAAAGCTGTGGGTCTTATGGAGAGTGACATTTTCTGCTAGGCCAAGGATGTGTTTTATGATTGTCCGTTGTGTAACATAATGTCTGTGTAATTGCCCCGTTGTGTGTTTTTAATGTTAACCTCTGCAAAGCACAGCTCTTGGTGGCCTTTTTCCCCCGGCTGTGTGAGAAGTGACAGCGGTTGGATTGCTACTTTGGCACTTCAAGTGTGGCAGAGTTTCCATGAGAAATGAAAAGGGGCTTCCCCATCACCCTGTTTTTAAAACAGAGTTCCCCAATTAGAGCAGATATTGTCACTTCATGGCTTTGAACTAAAAGAACAAAGGGTTTGGGGTGTGGTTGGGAAGATGCGAGTCCTGAAACTCAGCACACTCTGCCTGTCAGTGTTTTTGCACTTTGCATGAGCTGGGAAAGCTGTTGCCTGCTTCCTCAAAGTCAAAACAAAATTGTCCAATGTCAGTGAATTTCTCATGCACCCTTTTACTACTTTAGTAGATATTTAGAAAGCGATGGTATTTTGACACAAGAAATCTTGCAGCATGGCTGCAAAGTCTTTATAAATTCTCAGGTAGTTAAGATTGCTAGAAAGGTCTGCGTGGTGTGCTGGTGGCTGTATATCCAATTGTCAGGGTGGGAGGGAGCTGTGAAACCAGAGGCCATAATCTGCAGAGCTAACAGCTCCAACGGAAATAAATCCTCTGCTTTTGCCTTGAGGAGGCTTGATTGAAATCCCTGTTATCACTGGGATATTTCAGGTGACCGTGGCGTGCGGCGAATGGCATTACTAGATTGTAAAAGATCAGTGCGAAGCAGTGGATAGTAAAGGAGCGTGAAACATCTACTTAAACAGGAGCTGTTAAAACAACCAGACCCCAGTTTTTACTTCCCAGCTGAACAGAGTTCATCACCCATTTTATTTGTTTTGCTTTCAGGGTGCATTTGCTTTGAATGTGCTATTTGCATAGCAAGGTAGAGTGAGATTAAGAATAGCAGAATCTGGCTTTAAAGTAGAGCCTTCTTTTAAAAAAGATAATTACTTTCTTGATCAAAGCTCTTGTTTTGCAGCCAGCTAACTCTTTCTCCCTTTCTTTCTTGTAGTTAATCTCTTGCCTGTGGATTGTGACAAAAGATCGGATGATGTAAGCATGTATTTATTTATCTTCAAGTATTGTGGATAGGGGATTCTTACAGAAGAGTAATTATTCTAGGTAACTTCCACCAATATCAGTATCACCATAAAATTATTAGTTGTATCATTTTACAGAAAAATTGTGACTTGATGAGTTGGAATTAATGGGCTGGATTAAATTAGAACTGTATATAAGACTCTGAAAGATAAAAATTTAAATTCCCAATTATGTGAATCAATTTCTTTAATAGTTGTAACAGAAGCGATACTGGGTTGCAATAAAGCTGTGTTCAGCTTTAACAATGTGAGATTTAATCCACCTAATTCCCTGAACTCCATCATAAAGTGTTTGTACAGCCCTATTTCTTTTATCATCATGTGTTATTAGGAGAGAGAAAATTTCCTATGGGATTCAGAGTTTTGAGTAGTCTCCTGTGATGTTCTGGAGGCAGAGGACTGATCAGAGGGGATGGCTGGTGGTGCAGTGTGGGCTGGGGGTGGTGGTGACACTTCCAGAGGATGTCCTACCTCACTTTTGACTTAGAAACTGGGGATCTTTGCTATACAGGGGTCTTGAATTTGAACTAAGGCATGACTGAGCCAAACCTCACTGCTGGTATTTTGTTTGGGTATTTTTAGCTAGTCTGACTGCTGTCCTGTTGCTGCCAGTCTGTTCATGTTTGTTACCTGATTCTGACTTTCAGTTCTGTCAAGCTAAACAGAAGGAAATCATAGCGAACATCCTGCACGAGTTGTATAACTACCTGTCCATACAGGCTGGTAAGTTCCAATTGTCATTATAAAACACTTTTTAAGCATTCAGCAAACTGCCTCCTCCAGCTTTCTGGACATTTTTAACCTCAGTTTGATGAGAAGGGTTTATGGAACAGTCAGTTCTACTTGAAGAACTCTGAGAAAGTCGGGTAATAGAAAAATAGAAGAAGATGTGTTTATTTTTATTCTCAATAGTGCTTAGCTAATGCAGTGCCCTTCTGGAGTGGTCCTTATTTGCACTTGATATATTGGGAATTTGAGGTAGAAATATTCAGCTTTATGGTTCTTTTCTACCAGCATCTTGAAATTGGCTTCAAGACACTCGAAGCCAGTAAGTGTAAAGCTCATGTGTTCTTACAAATAAAGTTAAAGCAACTTAAGAAATTGCCAGCTCTCTGCTGAAATGTGGCAGGTGATTCTCTGAGTGCTTCTCTCTTTTTTCTCAGTGCAGAGTAAGACAGGCTGTCTTGGTTGGGATGCTAACCGAGCACAGTAGTTCAGCCAGTCTCTGCTATGTATGAGCAAATCTGGTCCATAACTAGCATTTTCTGATGGAGAAGGCTGCTAGAAATTCAAGGGATGAGTAAAAACTTGTTCAGCAAGATGCATACTAACGTTATTCAATAAAAGTGCTTAAGTTCCATTTTCTAGGTTTCAGACCTGAACAAAGCTCAAGCCTTTAGATACTTAAGTTTCACAGCATTTGTAAATCTTTCCAGATCAGATTTCAGTACCTGTAGAATATCCACCAGTTTTACACAGTTTCTCAGCACATTTGTTTAGTCAACTCTGTGAAGCGAGATTTAGAAGGTTGAGTTCCTCACCAGCATTTCTCTGCCTGGGTGAAAGGTAGAGCTGCAGTTTAGACTCCTTAGAAGAATTTTGAATGCTGATCACTAACTCCAGCTCCACAGTCTTTGATACCTGATGGAAGGAGCCCCTGGGCAGGGTGTTAGGTCAGGGAGATGATTATACACTCTGCAAGGGGGAGAAACAGAATTATTTCCCCCTCATTGTATGTTGAGTAGTTCATACACTGAAGCATGAGGTTTGATTGCCCTTATCCAACCTATATGCAGTGGCTGAGCATTTTATTAGTAGTCATAATCTTAACCTGCCTACAGTATAAATCTTACCTTGTAATCATTTTCCCCAGAGCTATAGCTGATTTTAAAGGATAGCATTTCCAGACAACTCAGTGTATTTCTGAAGTGTTCAAGGGCTTTTTTTCAAAACATTATTTCTATTTGACTTTTTTTAAAATTTATTTATTTTTTAAACAGGTAATTTTGAATGTGGAAACCCTGAGAATCTAAAAAGCAAATGCATTTGGGTTAGTGAAGTGAAGGATCACGTGGTGGTGAGTAGGCTGTGAACAGCTATTGTTATAACATAGTGCTTAGTCTCTTACAAGGCAATAAATAATAGATACTAAAGCAATTCACCATCTGTTTTACTTCCTCATCCTGTTTTGATTCTTTGCCATAGCTCTAGCTTCCCCTTTGGCCAGTCCTGTTCTCAGCAGTTCTTTTGAAAATAATCTTCTCCTACATCTCTGATTCAGCCCCTGTAAATCTAACTTAATGGTTTGTTGTTTCACCGTAGTCATCAGTCTTCTGAAACCAGAAATTTCCCTGGGTTGAGAGCTGGGCAGAAGAAGGATTTTTCTATACCCCAAAGTGTCAGAAGACAGACTGCTTTGATCTAGCATTCCATTTCTTTCATGGTAAACTGTCAGTAAGATTATGTTGTATTTAGTGGTTAGTCTTAACAGTCTGGGATAGTGTTATTTTACGGAGTGCTTCATGCATCATCTACCATAGTCAGAAGACTTTAGTCCAGACAGACCTTCAGATTTAGTTCTCTTTCCTCCAGTTTGCAGAATTATGATTATAATTAACCTGGAGACAGACCGTATAGAATGAATTCTCCCACTACTGTAATGAAATAATGTTATTCGGTATTTTAAATGAATGGAGAACTAATCTTGTTATGAATTCTTTTGAACAGAATATAACTGGTAGTTCCCCACAGAAGTTCGAAGCTGCCCTGCACTGGATACTAAACAGTAACAAGGATTTAGGAATATGGTAAGTGGAAGCCCACTTTGTCAAAGTTAACATTTCTTGGTGTTGCCTGATAGGTAATTTGACATCCTCTGTGGTGTGCCCTAAAAGCTCCCTTACCTCGTTAAATTGCAGAAGTTAATCTGGGATTGGCTTTGTCAGTGCTTGCTGGGCAAATTTCCAAATGAAAAGTACAGCCCTGCAGCGAAAACTGGCAACTGAGCTCATTCCTTGGGAGTCTGGTTCCCAGCCTTTGCACTGGGGGACATTGCGTTCACGAACGCGCTGTCTTGCAGATGGGGCGTAAATCTGAGGTCAGGGCTGCTTAGTTGTGTTGTTTTGTTGTGTTTTGCTTCCTACAGGGTTTAGAATTGGTGGCCCTGGTGTCCTGCCCATGGTCTTGTGGCTGCAGAACACTTCCTAAATGTGCCCACGTAGTTGCTTTTCCCAATATGATTTTTTTTAAGTACTGTAACTGTTGTCAGAACTTCAGTATTTTGTGGAACTGCATCCTTTGACCAAAGGGTTTATTGGGCAGCAAAGCACTCTCTTCAGTAGGTAACATCACCCATGCTTTGAGATCTTTGGAGCAAGTCCTGATGAGGAGGAGAGGAAAATGGATTGTTGAACGATATCTTTCCTTTAGTGTCAGATGTCTTTCTGGCAGAACACACAGTACATGTTAAAACGAATGGTCTGGCTGACTATGTAGGGTATTGGTTGGTCATCAGTGGGGTTTTTAATCTCATGGGTTTCTCAGCTAGCAGTCTTCAGTACATGAGGAACAGCAGATACACTAGTTTTTTTAGATAAAAAAATACACCATTCAAGCTATAACCTAATGGCAGACTGTTATCCAGCGTCCACAGACATCATTATCTTCCTCCAGGAAACGTGGGCTGCCTCCAGTCTGTGTTAACTCTGAAGTCTAACATTTGTTTGCATTTTAACGTCGCTAAATGTATCTCTGATTAAATGAATTGTAACGGTAGTAAGGCTGGAGTTAGTGGGCATAGCTTGTATGAATTCCCACTGCTCCATTTTTTTTTTTTCTCTGAAAAAATTCCTGCAGCTGCTGCTGTGATCTAAGGATCAGACGACGTCTGCTGCTTTGATTATTGTTATGTGGCAAATTCCCAGGACAGGACATAGTTTCCTTAGTTGCCGGGTTGGATTTGTAGGTGGGCTGGCATCCTGAGTTTTCAAATTTATATTTTTCTCCAGGAGCATTGCTCGTGTCAGGAGCAATGTGATACAATATACTCCCATTTTTATTTTTAATTTTCATAATTAGAAACTCTGGCTGTTTGCCAAGTGGATCCACTTTCCCCAGGTCTGTGTAGCGTGCAGCGTGAGTGTTCAGCACGCTTCAAAACCATTTTAGCAAACAACTACCTAAGATTATTTTTCTAGGTGCTAGTCTGAGAGGCAGAACTGAAAATGAGCTCTGCGCTGGGTGATTCTGCTGCATATTTTAAATATTTTTTTTTTTTTGGTGGAATTTGGATTGTAAATAAGACAAGGGGGTGGGGAAACAACTGTGTGTCTCCAGCTACTGTAGAATCCGGTAACCAAATACAAGCTGTCAGCAGTTTGTGAGCTGTACGCTAGTAAATTGAGAAAATGTCTTTGTCTAATAGGTTATTCATTGCAAACTTAGAATGAATTAGCTTAAAAAAAAAAAAATGAAATCCCTTTTAGTCCAATTGCTCTGAATCTGATGGCTCTCACTTGGATTACTTGATGCCTGTTGGTTTAGAGTATCTAATAAGGAAACAGCATCAGTGTAGATCTGTGTATAGAGAAGTGAGTTAAAAGCGTATCGGATGGCACAGCAGGTGTGTAGAAGTGATTTTGCAGGAGGATGTGGTATCGATTTTGCCATGAATGCTTTCTGAGGGTGTGTCTGTTCTCACTGCAGATACAGTTGATGCCTTGTCACTTTTTTAGCTAAACTGTTTATGCTCATCTTTTACTGAGGGAAACAGCGCAACCTCCATGGACATTCGCAGTCTCCCTCAACTGCTCTCTCTGCAATTGCTGATGAGTGACTCAGTAAACATTTCCATTTCTCTGTGCTGGGAGGTGGGAATCCAATTTAAAGTTTAATCTTCTACACGCTGAGAGGTGCTGTCAAAGAGTCTGCAGAGGGAGACTTCAGTTTACCAGTGGGAGTTACAACCCTGCTGCCTTTTCTAAAGCCATATCCATTCCTTGCTAAGCAGCCAGACCCAAAATATTCTGGAAAGAGGAGCTGCAAGGATGTCGGTGTATTTTCTGTGTGGTGTACAGAACGAGTTACTGCATCTTCAGTCTGTTTGTTCTCCCTATCTTGATTAAAGACTGCAGTTGGAGTGTCTGCTCTCTTCAGTGAAGATTTTCTGCCTCTTCCCATCAGGTTAAAAGGCAGAGACCTTTCGGAACCAGTTACCAAAGTGGAGGAAGTGTTCTGTCTCGAATCGGCCCATCCTCAGATGGGGCTTGGCTGCCGTTTCCTTCGGGCCCTGGTCACTGCCGTTGTGAACCTTTTCCTGTTTTTCTGGAGTAAGTCATCAGTGTCAGTAATCAGCTTCTCCCCTTGCTAGCTGTAGAGATGAACTTGTGCACACGTTCCCCCAGCCATATGAAATTACTAACAGAGGTGAAATAAATCTGCTGATGAGTTAATTTCTAATTAACCTTTGTTCTGGCAGCAGAGGGAGACCTGTAGACCTGCTTTTGTGCTGTGAGTGCTTAACACTGACTTTAAATCAGCGAGCTGATTATCTCTCTGGGTATTCCTCAAGTACCCATTACTATGGTCTGCAAAATAAGTATGTTAACCTACCTAAAAGATTTTTTTTCTTTCTTTTCTTCCACTAAGCTGCAAAATCTTCCAGCCTCTTTAATAATGACTTGTAGCAATTCAGTGTTAGAAGTTTTATTGGAATAGTCTGTCATGCCCCAGCTGAGACAGAGGTCTTACTGAGCAAGGTGATAACAAGAAATGAGTGTTGACTGGAAGAGTTTATAATCTAACCAGACAAGGTGGGGGTGAAAGGGGATAGTTATGTTTATTGTAGAGACTGAGATACTAAAGTTAGCTCATGTCCTAACGGCGGCATTTGTCAATGCTAAACCTTCAATATAGATCTCCTGAATTTCGGGCTGGCGCTGAAGCCCCAGGCTTTATTTCCTTATCAAGCAGCTATCTTCGGAGCAGTGGAGCTTGACAGTCTTCCTAAGTGATTATTGTGGGGGAGGCCTCTAGCAAAGAGATAGCTCTGGGACTTGGAGAATTGAAGCCCTGCGGTTGTGCTGAGCTGTGTAGGGGGAAGAAAACCTCCCCGATGAGGCCTTCTGACCCCCTCTTCCCACATGCACGCGTGCTCTTCTGCTGCAGGTGTTGGCAGTGCTGAGGATTTTGTGGGGTGCAGCTGCACTGGTGATCAAAATGAATTGCCTGGATTCAGTTCCAAGCAGGCCTGGGTAGCAGGGAGTAAAAGCTGCTTCTGGGGAGACGCAGTGTCAGCAATAAAACTGTACACGCCTGTCAGTTATTGAATTCCACTTGTTTTTATTCTTTCTAGGTCTGGTAACTCTTTGGGGGATCCTGATCTTCCTTAGATATCGCTGGCGGAAGATGGAGGAAGAAGAACAAGCCATGTATGAAATGGTGAAGAAGATCATAGGTAGAATCCAATAAATGGATTTACAGACTGTGTAAATGCAAACAGCCCTTTTCTCTCTGCAATGTTCATGTCTCTCACCACTTTGTCCTCCTGCCCTCCAGCTGTTGTCCAGGACCACTATAAGGAGTGGGAACGGAATTTGGAGCGTTACCCCTACGTTGGCATTTTCCATGTTCGGGACAGTCTCATCCCTCCTCAGAGCAGGTGAGCTGAGTTTTATTCATCAAGGAGAGCTGTCAGCATGATGTTATTCAGCTCAGCTAAAAAACACAGTTATGGGGCAGCGGACCATGAACAGACAATTGATGGGAAGCTGGACTGCAAGAAAAGTCTGTCTGGCCTTTCAGTTTATAGAGGATTTGGACATAACTCAGGCTACGTTTTAACCTGCTGCAGATCAGTGTGACAGTGCAGGGGCAGATTTTCTGCAGTCTCACAGGTGTATTGTCATTGTTCTATCAAACAGTAATTGGATTTTGTTTTGCTTGGGCATGGAGCATCTGATTTTCAATCCTTTGTGTAATGTCTGTAGGATGCTGTCCTCTTTCTCTGTGATTGTACCTGATTCTCCAGACAGGTGCTGTGTTTCTCAGAACAAACCTTCCCATGAGTCGAACAGGGCATCAGGAGGCTCTTCTGAAGTGGTTGTGTATGTTGCTGCCTGGAAAGTTACCAGTTCAGGTTGGGCAGCTTTGAAAAGGAGATACAGTGAGATGGCTGGTCTCACTACTTATTCAAAAAGGAGTTGTGGTAGAGATAGTCATTCCATGGGTGGTGAGGCCAGGGGGCTCCAGCCTGGTTCTCAGTGGTTTATGTGCCACTTGCTCCATCTCTGCAGGAATGTTTCTTGTGTTTTGGTTAAAGGGAGCTACTTTCTTCTCCTAATGACACAGAACACTACATGTACTGCAAGTCTTCAACATTCTTACCTTTATCAGTCATGGTACCACTAGTAGGAAAAGGAGTTACTTCAGCTGTTCTAAACCCACCTCTCTGTGTGGGGGGTGCCCAGAATTACTAGACACTGATTGAAAACTGGGTTGAACTCCAGTTTGTCCTCCCTGGTCTGAGATCTCTCTGCATGAAGGAAGGATGAGGGCAAATTGCTAATGGAGTCCCTTAGAAATACGAATTGAACTTGAAATTCAGGGCAGTCATCAATTACTGGTGCTGACAGAGGATCTCATCTTCCCCCCAGCTCCAGGCAGGACCTGTGTTTTCATGTCCTGGCCTGAAATCACTTCTAAACCAGAATTTTGGTTTAATCTCCTTTACTGTCTGCACAGGGAACAGGAGGCAGCTCGCAGGAGCTTGATCAGCAGCCACGGTTGCTGTAAGCAGGGAAGCACGGTGAGCTTGTGATTCTAATTTATTTTCTTTTTGTTGCTGTTTCTTGCAGAAAAAAAATGAAACGAGTTTGGGAGAGAGCTGTGGACTTTCTGGCTTCAAATGAGTCACGGATTCAGACAGAGTCACACAGAGTAGCAGGAGAGGATATGCTAGTGTGGAGATGGACTCAGCCTTCTTATGTCTCGGATTCGGAGCACTGAAGAGGAGCAGAAGTTGAGCAACTGTTGATGTGGACCTGTGCAAGGGGACAGTCCCTTCTCTGGTGGTGGGAAAGAGCAGGTCACAGTCCTAATCTCCTAGGGTTGGGGATTGCACGTATCTGTTTGCTCTTCTTTCTGAAAATCTTCACTCTCAAAAATTCAGGGCAATAATGTTGGCTTGGAAAGAAGATGGGTTTGAGCTGATGGGAAGCTAGAATTGCACCAAAGTTAACCTTCCAGCAGATATCTGGCTTCCATAGGCAAGAAAACCTGGAACAACTTTTTTAAAAGGAAAAAAAAAAATGCATACCTAATATGGAGGGACTTAGGATCTCTCTGACAAAGGTTAGGTATTTCAAATTTGACCTCAGTTCTGCAAAAGCCAACTGGTGGCAACGTCCATCAGGGAATGTGTTTAAAGAAAAATTACCATTTCCCATGGAAACATTAGGGTGGCAGATAAGATGGATTTTGGTAGAATTTGTTTTTATCAGTACAAAGACAGTGATAAAAACACTTGCTGCTTCCTAACGAGGAAAATCTTGGTGGTGTCTTCACCTTTTAAAAACGAGGGAGAGAGGCGGGGGGAAATGTCAGGTGAAGGTAGTCTTAGAGGGAGGGCAGTCTGACGTGCCTTGGTGGTTTGGGCTGGGTTGGGTGGGCTGGAGGAGCGGTTGTGACCTGTTAACACTTTTTAAGTCTGCAGTCTGTGTGTGCTTTATGATTTCTGGGGGGGGGTGGTGGGAGGTGGGAGGGGAATTTGGGTGACAAATAAAGGATGTAGGAAACTTCTGAAAGCGCTTTCTTGTGGCTCCAGCCAAAGGGACTGTTTCATGGGCTCTGAAAGCCGCTTTGGAAAGGCTCTTAGTGCTGAATGTTTATCCTGGGCAGCTGCAATGTGTGTGCTGTGTGTCAGGGCAGAGATGTACCATGCGTGGAGTGTCAGTACAGAGATTGCCAAGTCAATGTTCCTGCAACCTCAGAAGGAGCAGGGATCAATCCTCTCTGTTCACGCTGCAGGCATCGTATTTTGTATCTATAATCATCTGGTTACTTAAAAGTTGTTTTTTGTTTTGGTTTTTTTTTATGTCCAGCGAACGAGTGTTTGTGTCAAAGAAAATAGCACCAGTGTGTGGCAGTTTAGGCTAGGCAGAGAGACTGCTAATCTGCTCTTCCCACTATTGTAAACCAGCTGTCCAGCTCACCACTGGGACAGCAGGGACCAAATGAATTCCTGGCATAAGCTAGTAAAACCTTCAGAGAGAAGCCAGCGTTGATTTGAACCCGTGTCACCAGTGGATGATGTTCTCCTTAGTGTCACAGGTGCAGTGTGACCGCTGGATGCAGGGGGAGCTTCCTCTCCAGGCTCTGGGTTGGCTTAGGATGGCTGCCAAAGCCTTGCTCCCCGCTTTGCAGGCTGGTGATGCCACGGACAAGGTGGGTTCCTTGTGCCAGTCCCTGCTCACCTCCCAGTATGAAGCCTGCACTTTCTCCAACCCACTGGTGCCTTTGGTTGGGTTTTCCACCTACGCACCCCACACAGGCTGCTGTGGAAGGATTGCAGAGACTCCAAACATCCCTCCTGCTGGTGGTCATCTACCAAAGCGAGTGGAGAGAGCAGATTTCTCCAGGAGCAAAACACAAGGAGGTTTTTCCCATTAAATGGGAAATATCCTGCGTGGAGTTGACTCTTACCCCATATTGTCTTTTGGTTGCAAAGTTCGGGTGTTAGAACAGAAGAGGAGACTCAACAACTGTCTTCAAGACAATGACCAGCTTCTTCCACTCTTAATAAAATAGAGGATAAAGTGAAGGCAGCCTTGATTCTTCTAAAATGTTGTAACAAGATCGTCACTGCTGCCATAAAAATTTTGCAAACACCAGTGCCTACGTTCTTAAGCTTTTTAAAAATATTTGTGGGGTTTGGGTTAGCTCTTTTTTAAACCGTCCAAATCCAGAAGTGAAGAGTCAGGCATTGCAGTCATCTTTTTGTATTAAACTTGTTTTTTGTAGAATAAATCTCACTGGCTTGTTGCTGTTTATATGTCCAATTTAGCTCTGTAAATCAATTATAAAATAAATTTATTACAAATAATTTATCTTTATTTTTTTTATTGAGAAGTCACAGATTGTTCCAAGTGTTTTCACTCAGGCAGATCAAATAGATCTTGATCCGGGGAGCTCACAGTTTCTAAGAATAAGACTGAAGATGGCATTGGGGGTTGCATGACAGCCTAATGAGACACCGTGGATCCTTGTGACGCTCGGAGATCTCGGCACAAGAGCCGGTGTTTGGTTGCAAATTAATTTGGGAATAGTTGGCATTAAGCAGAGGTAGGTATGAAAAGCAGTTTGCTTGTTTAGCTGCATTTTGTGGACACTTGACAGCTTGGAGGGTTGTGAAACTGTAAATATTAGTTTAGCAGGTTGATCCTGTCATAAAGCAGTTATTTAAAGCAGGGGATGGGATGGTGCAATATGCTGATGTGACGGAGTGAGGATGCCTCGAGCTTCATGTGTTTTGTGTTTGTTCCCCGAAGGGCAAATCCCTCACACGTTGGGTGTTTGGAGTCAACAGCTGCTGCAGGAAATCTCCCCTCAGGTCCAAGCTGCTGATCCCGTGTGTTGTGGTATCCTCAGGCTGTGGTTTGCTCGCCTTGTTTTGTGGGATGTGATGTGAAGTGCCAGGTGATGGTTTAGGGAGACTGGGAAGTCATGAGGGAAGTGCTGGATGTGGTACTGGAGTTGGGTAGATGTCCCTTCCTGCCCTTGCTCCCAGGCTGTTGCTTGTCACTGGACACATCCATCCTCCTTGTGTCCCGAGGGTTACCAAGCTCTGTAAAAGGAGGGATATTTATGTCAAGGAAAAAGGCAAAAAGTCAAGTCTTAAACTGTTTACCAGATCCCCAAGGTTGTCTGGTGAGTAGGAGACACATAAGCACACCTTAATGGCAAGTTTGAGTTGTCTTCAGGGTCCATTTCATTGAGTGTTTTCGATTCCCCTCTCACTTGAGGGTCAGTGACTCAGAACTTGTGCTACCACGAGCTTCAACTTCTTCAAAGTCTACTCCTGAAACGCCATGAGTAGTTTGTGAATCATCATTGTGTAACTTGTGTGGACATGGTTGACTCACTCGTGTTTGGTTAGAGAAATGTTTAATTAATCTCATAATGTAGGTCTGGATGACAAAGTGGGAGATCTCCACTGGCACAGAAGGAGGTCAGCTCTGTGGCTGCCCTGGAAGTTGGTGGGAGCTGGTTACCTCCTCTCTGGCATCGACTTGTTGCCAAGGTCTGGGAACAAAAGGGAACACAAGGCTGAACCTACATTCCTGTTCAGATGCTTTTACCCAGTCTAGGTTGCTAAGTTACAGCTGAAATATATTCAAGGTTAGGAAACAGTCTCCAGTTTGGTGTAAATTACATGTGCCAGAGGATGTTTGCTTTCCACCAAGCTGCCATGATGTTTTCTGCGATAGTCTTCCCCCCCCCGTGTCCCTTCTTTCATATTTTATCATGAGAGCAGAGAAGACCAAGCTCCTGCTTGTCCTGTGCAAGCTGTATTGATAATTTCTGTGCTATTAGCAATTTTCCCAGAACCCCAGGTCCATTCAAAGAAGAGGGAATAGCTGGGTTCTTCATCCCCCTGCCCTGTTCTCCTGACAACTTACATTCACTCAACCACAGTAGCTAACATCCCTCTCCCAGTTTCTTCCAAAGTATTAAGTTTCTATAAATAAATTCTCCAACGGTGGGCTGATAAAGCCATCGCATCCCATTACTGTCAGAGAGGAAAATATGTACCAACAAGGAATCTAAAATAAAATTTGCCCTTTATCTTTTCATTTCCTGCTTCCATTTAAAGCTTTTCACATTAAATGTTTTGTCTCCTGCTGACATGACAGCTGATGCTGTGCCTTATTTATGGGGTGCAGAGTCAGGGCGCTGTGCCAGTTCTCCTGGAAAGATCAACGTGAACCGGAGAAGAAGAAGAAAAAATACACGAGCAGTGAGTCCTGCCTGAAGGCACCTCCCTCCAGCACAGCCCCTGTCCGAAGCAATCACTCCCCAGTGCCTGCCCTGGGATTTCCACTCTGACTTCATTCAACCTTTCAAGAACAGCCTCCAGGTAGGTGTTGCCAAAGGTTTGTGTGCACATTAATGAACGGAGCCTCGTTACAGCAAAGAACGAGGTGTGAGTCCCATCCCCACCACCCCTCAAGGGGCTGCAGAGTCCATCTCAGGGACCAGACCTCTGTGCTAACCTCGGAGTAGCACATTATTTTTGTAGGAACTCTTCTGGAAGGCTGGTGAGATCTGGTGCAAAACCCATGGGTGTCTTTAAATTGGCTCTCCCAAGATGAGGAGACCCCCCCAGTGGGTTGTGGAAACCTTGCTTGGCTTCCAGCTCATCCCACCCTGGGGCAGAGCGTGTGTTCTGTGCCAAAAGCCCCCCGTGCTCCCCATTCCACAGCTCCTGGCAGAGCAGCAGCTCCCTGGGGACATGCTCTCGGGTGGCAGGAGGACACAGGAGCCTCCGCTGAGCTCCTCTCTGACGGAGAACACTGCCTGCCTCTTGTCACCTCGCAGTGACCTGCTGTAGGGTCACATTCAGTGTTTACATCCCAACTCCAAAACAGCTCTTGGCATCTGACCAGCAATGGCAGAGGAAAACACCCTGGGGTGGTGAGGAGCTGCTCCCTGGGGCTGGGTTTGCGGGGTGCAGCTGAGCCACTTCCATGTCAAACAGCTCAGAAATGGGTCCCAGGGGGCCCCGTGCTCCCTCCAGGAGAGCAGCTCCTGCTTGGCTCCCGGCCACGTTCCCAAAGGTGCCACCAGCAGCGAGGACACCTCAACGAGGGGTTAGGTGTGTTTGCCAGCCATCGGGTGAGGCTCCAGCACCCATCACAGGGGCATTTCCAGTGCCGGGGCTGGGTCAGGGCGAGGGAGTGACCCAGCCTGGCTGTCTGGCCAGGAGGGTTGTGTCCTGGTGTCACTGTGCCACAGCTGCAGCTCCTGTCTGGCACTGCTGCCTGTCTGGGGGAGAGCAGAGAATAAATCAAGAGCAAAGACTTAAAGATGGTCCAAAGCCTTTGGAGGTGGAAAGGGGACAAACCTGCCCTGTTGGCATCTGTGCAGGAGGGGAAAGGACGGGTGCAGCACAATGGGATCTGTGTCACCTCCCTGCGTGTCCTTGGCAGGTTTTGTTGGTTTTCTTTAACGTCAGAGGCAATCCTCAGTCAGTCACACAGTTTGATTTCAGCTCTCTCACAGATACAAATTTAGTTCTTTCGTATGAGAAGGACCCTGCACAGGTCATGTCAGGATGAGGTTTGGTGGTGCTGAGGTTACTTGGGCAACCCTGGCTCACTTAAAGCTTGGTATCCAGTGTGCCCACCCTGTGCTGAGTCTGGGAGAGGTTCGGAGTCAGGACCGAGGCTGCAGCCAAGGGT